CAAATAGCTGCCACAAGGTTCGCTGGCTGGTACGTTACACAAGAGTACCATCATAATATCAATTTCATTAAAAAAGTTTTGCCAATTTTGATAATGAAGTGAGTTGCTTTTGTAATTTTGATGTATTTTTTCTGCTGGTTATTTAAGTACATTAATTTATGAAAAGGTTTTAGATTAAAAAATAAGAATTTTGAAATCATTGTGTCTTAATCCCATTTTATTTAGGAATTTTTTAGTGTCTCAGCAATTACAAAACTTTTTTCTTTCCTTTAGCACGTTGCCTGCTAAGCAATAATGAGTGTTTTGTAATTATTGTTATTATAGCCTGTTACAATCCCGTAGAGGGCAAGGGCCTCCGGGTGCCGGGTGGGATACAAAGTGGTAGTATTACCGAGCACCCAATTCGGGAACTTCCTTATATAGCTATATAAACAAACAACATACAAAATAAGAAAATGTAAGATCGTCCACTTTGTCACTGGCAAATATAGCACTGTTCATTTCGACTTCCTTACATAGGCGCTGTACTATTATTTGGGGCCAAATGTAAAAAAAAACGTTTTATATAATCTTCTTTTCGTCCTTTTTCGACAATTTGATCATTAATTTTAAGTTTGGTTGTATTTGAAGGGGTCAATTGAATTTGTTTGGTGTCATTTATATATGAATGATGCGGCGTCAAGAGAAAACAGTTGTGTATTTTTTTATATCGTGCCACGTCATTCATACATAAATAACATTGTGGAAAAGGGTTAACTACTATTGCATTGCCCACGCGCGTTATATTCTGTGCAAGTAGGGTCATATTGCCATTGTTGTGCATTTTGCTCCAACATCAGATGAGCGAAAATTGGAACACCCCAGAAGGTATTCTTATGATTGAATGTGGGACTTCTTGAAGAAAATAAATATTTATGCACAATTCTTAAACATCATGATTTGACAAAAGATTTATTAGGAAAACGTACCTACAGACGTACAACACGTACCTACCTACGCTACAACACGTACCTACCTACCTGTCGGTACCTACAGAATAAACAGAAAATATTTTCCCTCATAAATCGTATTTTCAAAATTCAAGCGTGAAGATTTGTCGTGCTTTTGTTGAAATATACTTGAGAAAGATGTCAGAATTGTATGCCAGTTGTTCACATTCAACTTTCCCAGCTCAGATAACCGCTACTTCTACGTTAAGATGACCCTATACATTCGGCATTCGACGAGAAGCGAGCAACTGCTCGCCAATCCTGAGCAGGTGATGTGTTCGTCGAATGTTCGCTTCCTTTGATGTGGCCAAAAGACCGATATGCGATGGGTAGGGTGAGACCGGATGTTCGTTGCTCGGCAAATAGCAAGCACCCCATCCACAGAACTCGGGATTCGGCGATGGGTCACTTGTTACTCGCCGAATACCGAATGTGTGAAGCGGCCTCCAAACTGAAAGGTAGTTCTGAAGAAAAGAGGGGCAGACACAGGAAAGGGGAGAAGCCGCTTGCAGTCAGTGCTTATAATAAAGGCAAATCTCGGGCTGATATGTCAGATAGGATGGGGTCCTACATGGTACAACTCTCTGAAATAAGTACAATGGCAAGAAAACGTGGAATAGAATTAATATTGACAGCAGCAGTCGTGAACGCATGGTCCTTGTATAAACTTGCAACAAAAAATAAAATACAAATTCGTATATTTAGGGAGAAATTCTTTATTTATCTATTTACGTCCAAATAGTTTAAAAAATGTGTGACGTGCAATGGGAAGAAGTTAATTTGAAGTAACATTTATGTCCAGAAGCAAAACAAGGGTCCATCTCAGCATTTGCTCAAGGATCTGGGAAACTGGGCGAAAACCTGATCGAGATGGGGGTCTTTGACCCAGAAGCCGATGCACAATAATTGTTACAGGTTCTTTAGTTCCAATCCAAATGGTAAATAATACACTAAATGTCGTTGTTAAAATTAATATTACTTTCCTTTTGGATGCTCGGTAAAGACTCTAATTGTATAGAAACAGCTGTGCAGCAGAAAAGGTTTTACTTAGGACTTACATTTTGCATCGAATTTTATCGCTTAATGTCATCTGGCAAGGTGTTGTAAAATAATGTACATGTGTTATATGTGAATTTTTTGTAGTGAGCTGTTGATATTGTTACCTAATGAATATGTTTACTACGTCGAGTGTTGTAGTTATAGACATCAGCGTTTGCTGAAAATATATTCCCGTCCTTAAGTCATTTGTCAACTGATTCATATATCAAGAGACAAGGTAATGGTAAAATACCTAGATTAATAAAGAGAGGCTTACAAGAACCACGTGGGTGGATTTGCTTATTATTCCTTCAATTCGTTTTTGTAATCTAAAAGTCTGGGATATATTTCCCCAGAATATTATTGCAAATCTTAGGTGGGAATGAACATTCGCGAAATATACACAATGAGTAGTATAGTGGCTGATTGTATTTGAAAAAATTCTGAAAGCGTAGCATAAATAATTTAATTTAGTGTTCAATTCATTTCAATGGACGTTCGATTTAAGGTTTGACTGAATTGAAAGGCCTAAAAATTTTGTTACCTTAACACCAGTCAGTAGCAGAACTGTTGTAAACAAGCATGGGAGCAAACAGTTCAAGAGTACAGAGCTGTTTATTTGAAATGGATAACTGCATTGAAACCGTCTTCGTTTCATATTTCATAATTTGATATTATGGAACCAATTTAAAATATCTGATATTGTACAATTTAGGGTTTCTTTACTGCAAAGAATATTTGTATCATCCGCAAAGAGAACTTCCGTTTCTAATCGTCGAGGTCATATCGTTTACTTATAGTAGGAAGAGAATATACTCTAAAATCGATCCCCGCGGGACTCCACTTGCAATTGGAAAAGAATCGGAAAGGTGTGTACATGATCTTCCATTCTTCCAGTAAGGTATTTCTACTCTCTGAGATCGTTGTTTAAGGTACGAACTTAACCAATGTAGAGCAATACCTCGAATTCAATAGCAAGGTAATTTTGAAAGTAAATTGTTATGATCAATGACGTCAAAAGCTTTTGAAAGATTTAAACATATTCCAGTTGGTGCTTCGTTTTGATCCATGGATGAGCCGAAATCTTTAAGAAAAGTAAATATGGCTGTTTCCGTAGATTTTGATTTTTGAAACCCATGTTGGCAATCTGAAAACGCGTCGTGTTTACTAAGAAATGTTTCCATTCATACGTAAAAAAGTCACTCTAATTTTGAATTTCGTTTTTCTTTGGCTTTTTTGAAAAGAGGCTTAATCTCAGCTGTTTTAAAATATTTGGAAAAAATCCTGTGCATAAGGATACAGTCTTAACAAATAATCCAGAAATTCGTCTAAACCCGCCGAATATTTATTTTTTAGTCTTTCGATTATTTTGAAAATTTCATTGGAAGAAATTTCGGAAACGAACATCATGTCTAAAATTTTTGGGAAAATGTCTGATGTTGAATTTTGTGGCTGAAAACCCCTAGTGAGATTAGTAGCAATTCTCGAAAAGTATTAGTTAATGAGACTTACCACTGTTGCCGAATCGTTCACATTTCTATCGTTATCTTTTAAAACAACATTCTCTACAGTGTTTCTAGTTGATTTGGTAGACTTTTTTACTATATTCCACAGTACTTTTGTTTTATTATTTGAGTTCAAAATATCCTGATCATGATTTTAACCTTCCTTATAACTTTTCTAAACATGTTTTTGTATTTTTTAATGTAGAGGAGGAAATCTTGAGATACGTTACGATGCTTAGAAATGAAAGAAATAATTCGTTTGTTTTTACATGATGTCTTAATGTTATCCAAGAATTGCTTTTCCGTGAAATATTTAATTTTCTTTTTTGAAGAGGAAAGCAAGTGTTACAATGAAATGAAAGCGTTGAGAAAAAATTAGTATATTTATCGTTTGTATCAACAGTATTGTAAATTGTGTCCCATGATTCTTGCAGCAAGTCATTGATGAATAATTTTATATTACTTTTAGTGAACAATATACTCATAGGCGTAATTATGTAATGTGTTGGCATTTCTTATAATGGTAAGATCTTGTGCATCGTGATCACTATCCTAAATATTTTGTTTCAATGTCATATCGAGTAGTGGTTTTGTTAATTATTATTTGATCGATAGCCTTCTTTGAATTTAGTGTGATTCGTGTAGGTACATTTATAGTAATATCTACACTGAAGGAATGAATTAAGTTGAGAAACTGCTTTTTCTCGCCCAGAAGGTAAGATTCGACCAGAAAATCAATGTTAAAATCTCTGCATACAACAATGGATTCAAAAGAGCGATTGCTGACTTTGTTTAGTGTTATCTCCAGTTTTTTAAGAATATATTATAATCTACTGCTCTCTTTGTTGGAGGCCTGTAGATGCAAAGTAATATAATTTCATTTAGGAATTAATTACGTAACTTCTCAAGCTTGGAGACAAAAATACGTCACTTTTCTGCATTACGTACACAAAGTAGTATTGAGACCCATATTTTAGCTACGATAGAGGATACATTCAGAAAAAATACAGAGAACGTTCACTTTGCAATGTAAAACTTCAATAAGAGAAAAATCGAGAGCAAGCTAAGAATCATTAAAAAATGGTGTACACTTTCTGTGATAACATTCCAAATAAACCTCAATTATGTCCGGAATACTTCAATATTTTTCACAAACGATTAATGTGTTACTTTATTTGTTCTATAGATTAAATAGTTTTTAATAGAATGCATTGATTTGTGAACATTTGGAATTTTTAATTTTAACGTTGATTTAATGTTTACAACTTGAGGCCGAACGAATTGTACCTGTAAATTCCCTGTGGGCCACCATATAACACCCTAAAAGACAATTCCATTCGTATCTGAATGCCATGGCCTCTTCCGATTTCCGACCGTCATTAAAATATGAATGACGAAGGACTACCAGAACATGTGTCATTCAAATATATGAATGGCACGGCATTCAACGTGTTAATTTTTTTTTCAGTATGAATGATGTAAGGAAATTAAAAGATCAGTACAAAGATGAACATCCAGCTTTTGGATCTTACTTGGAATGCATGACAAGGACATTGTTTGGTGGCCTTGCTGCATTTACTTTAGGTGAGTAAATTAATGTGTATTTTACCTACTGCCACTGCTGCTGTTTCTACTACTGCTACCATTACCACAATCACTTCTATTATGGCTGCCACTAACAATACAAGTACCACCACGACTACCACTACCACTACTTGTGTAACTACGAAAAGAAACTGGACATTGACATCCATGGCTAATTAGATTTGAATGAAAATTAATATTTTTTGTGTTGTTACGTGGAACTTATTTATTTTCTTTATGAATAAGTACTTTTGGAGCTTGCCTTATATATTTTTTTTTTTTTTTGCATAATTTTCCTTATTGGAAGGTTTCTGCTTATTAGAAATTATTCATAATATTGGACAAATTGATAATAATTTTGAACTTTTGTATTTTTTTGTAATTTATGTATTTGCCTCAAGTTAGATATGTTAAAGAGTAATAAAAAATCAACAGAAATTTGTAGTTAGCATGCAAATGCTGCTGGGAGTTAGAGAACATTATGATTTGCAGTGTTGATAGTGTTCAAGAACCACTTAGCCATTATCGAATCTCTAAAGAAGAGAGAACTGTCATTTAGTTTCAAAGCGGTTTGCAACAGATGTAAACATATCTACGATACTGGAGTTTAAATAAAAATATAAATGAATGGATAATCTCATTAAATAAAAAAAAGTCAATATTTTAACTAATGGAAAAGTTGTGTTTTTGGAAAGCAAATATATTGAGAGAACATTCCAAATTCCACGACACATGCTTGAAATTTAAATATATTTTATAATTGATTACAGATATCAATTGATCAGCTATTTAGAGAAAATTAGTCGGACATCACTTGTTGCCTTCTTGTTCCGCATCATTACAATTCAATACATTATAATTTCAAAGAGGATTCTGTTTTGTTTTATTTGCCTCTCTACTTCGTAAATTAGAGTAGATGAACATTTATGATAGCATTTTATGAGCAGTTATAGCTAAAACTATGGCGTCACTTACCTCAGGAGGCGTGGCGACGCCATCCCCACCTCTCCCAAGGGAGAGCTCAGTTGAACTCAAGGACGCCGGCAACGAGAACTATTTCGCAACTACATTTTCTCACTCTTTGACGGCGACGCTGCTGACATTCTCGCTGACGCTAGAGTTCTCGCTTGACTCTTGCATGTCTTTCCTGACCTCTACAGTTGATTTCGAAACGCCTGCCGCCTCCCTGGTGATTTTTACGTTTGCTTTTACATTGTGTGCGATTTTCATACGCCGAAAGTACTGTGTCGCTCGATACACTATCTCACGAGCCTGGCCTCTCAACGTTCGCCCTGATACACTTGCGGATGTTGAAGTCGATGCCATATAAACAGAAATGTAAAAACTCGAGAGATCTACTTCTATGCAGAAAGAATTCATAAACTGACTCTCGAGGGAGAGAAAATCCGAAACAAGAGCCCTTTATGGCAAATGTACGTGAGGAGAAGGCAAGGAATATAATTTCTGTCATGACATTTCTCACACCCAAATGCCATCTGACTTGACAAGATAAACAGATTCCAGCCTTCATCGCTTCAAGGTTTGGGACTGTCGTCAAGGTCAGGCTATCTTTCCCTCGCCCTTCCACGCCAAGGCGGCGGCAGCGGTGGCTTCTCAGACACATATTTTATATTATTATTATTATTATTATTATTATTATTATTATTATTATTATTATTATTATCATCATCA